GGTTGTTTTTGCCCAATTTGGCAACTTCGAATATATCACTGACAGTTTTACCATCTTTGAACTGTACTTTTGGGGTGGTGGCCGCGTTTGCCACAGTAAATGTCATCTTGACTATTTGTGAAAGGCACACACAAGACAGTGGCGTTTACTTGAGTTAAACGCATTAAGAAAATGGTACAGTGCGAAATGCATGTCAAGATTTCAAAGTATGTATCTGGTAGGCATTGGTTGTGCTTAACTTACTTTTTGCGTCATAGCACGCAGTAGTAGCTTTCGCATTACACTTAGACATTGTCTCACCGTTAAATGTGGCCGCCTGGTACACACGTTGTGTAACTCAAAAGGGTTTGCCTACCTTGACTTCAAATCCTGGAACGATGATGGAGTGGAAATCTGTCTTTTCCGGTGCATATGCTTCGAATTGCAGTGTAGTGGCTGCGGAGCACACTGCATGGTAGAAAAAAAATTTCCTGACTGAACACGAATCACCACAAAGACTACACGGTATTATAAACATCTTCAAGCAGAGCTTACCTAGTGGAAGTAGCACGAAGAGGAACACTGGAGTCACCATTATTTGCTGTAATAACAAAAAAGTTTTTGTGATTAATTTAAAGTTCAATGATTTCGTATGACTAAGAAGAACTTGTTAATGTATAGAGAACTGTTTATGAAATTTTATGTAAAATATATATTTCAGAAAGTTAAATTAAGCACAAGACCTGATAGACACACATGCGTTTTCTTCTCAACGATCAGCAACAAAATAGAAATTTTTACGATGCATAGGTACAGTTTGTGGAACGTCTCACCTTGAATCAGTTGTAGGGGTTGCTCCTGCAGTTAGCAGCTGCTTGAGTAAGTGGTGAAGACGAAATGACACGGTCCTTTTACGTGCCCTTGGTAAACTTTCATGTCAGCTGGTTTTCTAGCACTTTTTTCGATCACATTATGCGCCAGAATTACAGGCTGACAACCTAATGACATGTCCCACACTGAAAACAGGCCCGAATCTGCTAAACGCCTGATAGTCCAAAAAGACCTCCGCTCCCGGTCTATATTTCCTTTTTGATAGCATTTCTGACATTCGCCTTCTGTCATGTCTGATGGGAATGTGTGCCAGCACAAACGTTCCAAAGGGTAACATTCTTACCCGGGAATAAAACAGAAATAACTCTGTTTTTTCCTCTTGGAAACGTTCCTAATATTACAGTCGCCACGTAACGGCTGATAATGCTTCGTGTAATTTTTCTCCTAGGTGAAATTCCTTTACGAGGTTTTGAAAATAGTATTATGTCAGTGTACGCCAATATGTAACTTTGGCAGTCTGCAGCTCCG